GCCGGAATGAGATCGAGAACGGTGTCTCCTATATTGATTCGCCTTTTCTATAAGGTGGGAAGGAGAGGGAAGTATTCATGCTTGTGGTTAAATGACTCAGAGACCAAAAGACACACACAGACACATACACACACACACAATGACTTAAAAGCTTAATAAAGAAGAATATGGTTCCTTATTTTACCCCGAAGATCAGAAATAAATTCTAGTCATCAATTCCCAAGCTTTAGCATACAGGGAATCAATGATTTAAATGAGACAGTCATCCTGATTTTCTTTTCCAAGGTGAAGTATGGAGGGGAAATTGACACAAATTAAGAAAAATTGGCAAATAAATGAATTTCTATAAAACATAATGTCTGATTATAACTAACTACCTTCAAGTACCACCAAGCACAATGTGTATTTGTTACCTTTTCACATGTGTGTGTAGAAAATTTAATATCCTATTTTGGCTGATTATGTGGATCAAACTGATTATAAAAATATTAGAATCTGTACTTTTCCTTGGGAATTCAATTTTATTAAGGCCAACTATTAATTCTAGAGTGAAAATCAGAGCAAGACCTAAATGATAGATCTATTCTATTGTGCAAGGGACCAAAAATCGGCTGTCCCTTACCCAAATGCATCTTTGGCAAAAGATTAATTTCAAGGGAAAGGTTCTGAGAGTGAAGATTATCTTTGAAGAGATATTTACACATAATTATCTCTTAGAGCCTTGTGACAGGGAGGATCTAATCAGTGGAGAGGGCAGAATTTAAATAGCTTTAGTGGGACTTTTTAGGTCATCTTCCTAATGGACTGACCTTCCCTTGCTTCCTCACAGACTCCTTTGCATTAGCTAAGCTATTTAGAGGTAGTTTCTACGACCACCTGAGGAGTAAGAGTTATGCTGGCCCTCTCCCTCTATACAGGAGGTTTATGTGTTATTAATAAATGTCTCTTATCAACTGCCTCACATTTGATTATTTGTCTGACCTCTGATACAAGATGATTTCTTTAGTGCCCTGACAACTGTTTAGAATAACTGCATAACTGTCAAGGCTCGAGTGTGCCAAACACAGTCTCAAAGTTTGAAATGTCAGGCCAGCCTGTCATGATCCCCAAATGTCCATACTATTCCGTTTTTGCCTTTAATTATAAATATGTAACCTAAGTTAAAAGTCAAATAAACTCTCACCATAAACTACACATTTCACATCATATGAAACTCAGAAATAGATGAGTTCCAAAGGATACTTTGAAAATCCATTTTAAAACATTTATGATGCTATACAGAAAACCCTCCTGCTATTTTATATATTTCTCTAAATCTACCTTTAAAATATTGTAACAGTGTTTTTCATGGAACAAATTCTCCTTTATGTTTCACAACAGTCTTAGTGCAATCCAAATAACTGCATTTGCAAGCCCAGGAAACCCATAAAATCATAGCCACTAATAAAAAGCAGATGTAAGTAAGCATTATACATCTTTTAAAATGAATATAGAACCGACCAATCTAGGATATATGGAAAAAGCCCTGCAACTCTTGTTTTCATAAGTGATCAATGGTATTTTAAAGCAACATAAGAGCCTTTTTGGGTTCGAATCAACCTGAAGATATACATTCCACAGTTGACACAAGGAACCTGTACACTTTCACGGTGGAGGGGAGGGGGATGTGCAAATAGAAACTCAAAATGCAAGCAGTACCAGAGAGCATACGCAGACTTCTAGACTGAATATTATCTTCCAGGGGATCGATATCGAAGATGGAGCCAGGATCTGTGCGCCAAACTTTGAGGTCTTTTCCCAACAGGAAGAAATTGACAAATCAAGAGAGAATTAAAACAGTATCAACATCAAAGAGAGCCTGGCAAACACATGAAAGGGAACCTATGGATAAAGCAAACAGGTCACACAAATCACGGGGCTACAGATGGGCTTCAAAGGTGGGAGGAGAGGATGTTTGCCTGCACATGGGTTTGTTAAAAAGGACTGCAAGTCCACGGAGGGTGCCTGACTTCTTCCTCGCTGACCCTCACTGACTTGCCACAGAGAGTGCTGACTCATTGCAAACACATCAGCACCCCAGACAACACAGGTGCAGCCACCCTGTACTACTCAGGTTCTAGACCCTCTGAAACAGGTGGGATGTTTGATCAAAGTTCCTTAATAAAAGCATGGGAAGCAGTCATTGCACGAGACTGAAAGGTCTTCTCTCCCTATCACAGAAGCAAATGTTTAAAATGCCAGCTGGGACATGTCTACTTTTTGATCGAAGGTATGTGTATAAGTGAACTCACAGGAAATTCATTTATTAGAAAAGAAAAATGCTTTCAGGACAGGCTTGAGCAATGGGAGAGAAGAGATGGAGTAAAGGAGCAGCTTTCACCCAGCCCCCAGCCAAGCAAAGGTCCGTTCACTTGCTATCATGCGTAACCAGACGGCGCAAGTCAATTTAGCCTCCGGTTTTAGTTAGAGGCACAAATCCAAATCTAATTAACAATGTCTGGATTTATCAGTCTCTCCAGTGAATGATCCCAAAGTGATCCGTATAGTGCTAACCTGAACCCAGAAGAATGAAAGCCTAGGGATAAACATGTGGTAACAATGGAGCCTGGGTCAAATCTATTACTGTGGTCCTCAAATGTCACTTTGTTCAATGTTGTTTCATCATAACACAGATGAATTAAAAACCCTGACCCATGGAGGAAAAACTCACATTCACTGAAGACCTACCTTGGTTATATTTGTTTTCTTCAAAGTAACAGTTTCCAAGAATGGAACAACATTGAAAACTTTCTGTAATTAATAAACTGGAACTAGATATCTCATCTATTCTATTTATTTGTGGGGGGACACTCTTTCGCAGTTCCTGGGGGGGGTCCACCTCAGGGCCTTGCATGTGCAAGTGCATTTTTTAACCATAGAGACATATTTAATTAATATTATGTGGTGCCTACCATATGCCTGGGAGTATTATTATCAGTTATAATTCATTTAAGCTTCAGAAAGAGTTCTGTAGCTATTACTTTATCCCCCGTTTAACAGATGTGAAGACTGAAGCACAGAAAGATTTAGTTTGGCCAAGGGGAGCAAAGCCTCTCACAAAACTAGAAGTAGCACATATTGGTTTCATCTGAATTACTAAACCTCTATTTTATGCCTGGCATACACTAAAGTATACTGAATGTACATTGTTTTAAAGTTTCACAATTTTCAGGGATGAGTGTTGAAACACTGTATGACTGAAACCCAATCACGAACAACTGTGTAACTGTGTGTCTCATAGTGATTCAATAAAATAGATAAATTAATAAAATAAATGAATTTTCACAATTTCCAATGGAAAACAGTTTTCATCAATACAGAGAAACTAACTCTAAATTGCTTTATAAGTGAATAATTTAGAGTCATAAACATATTTATTATAATAGTACTAATTTCTACCTCAAAAGTAATGAGTATTGAATTTTCAGATCTTAAAGTCTGGAGAAGTGTTTCTCAACCTTTTTCTAATGATGGGCTCCTTCTGACATTGCTACTTTCATGTGACCCACCACATCATACTGGTTGGCCCCCTAATTTATGCTTTGCCTCCCTCATTCCTTGGAATATTGGGTAGGGGGAGGATGCTGGTTAAGAAATACAGATCTAGATAATCCCCTAGTTCTAGCAAGGATCTCCTTGACGTTCCTGGCACCTAATCTAATGTAAGACCACCAAGGGTGAACTTTGCAAACTTTAATATTTCCATTCTAAAGATATGAATCAGACCTTCTATAGGATGTTTATAAAAGAATCATATAGCTCAATGAAAGAAATTTCATTGAAAACATCACAACTAAATAACCAAGTTGGGAAGTTCAGCAATGCAATCAACTGTCTATAAATACATTTAGAATCGCTCTTTAGAAAATACTTTCAGAGTCCCTTTAGTTATCATCATATAAGTAACTTAGTGGTCTCATTTCACCACCATGTTTTAAATTAAAATATCCCCCTGCTATATATATGTATATATGTATATATGAGTGTATATATAGCCCTGATATATCTACATATGTAAGCATATCTATATCTATATATACATATCAGTCACTGCGCACATATCTCACATGTGCAAGAACCTGGGTTTGATGCCAGACCAAGAACAGCTTCCCCATCCAACCCACACCCCATAACCTTTAACTCATTACAAAAGCAAACTCCTACCTTTGAAGATAAAGGTATTTAACACTGAGATTACTAAGATATTGTCACATGATTAACAATAATCTTATTTTACTAGCCACCCCAAATTCAGAAGCTTGCATCTCTAAAGAAAATAGCCATGTGAAAGTGGATATTGTTGACAGGTATTGAAAATCAGTTAACTGTCATTTCTATCCCTATCTCTGACTCTAGTATGAACCTAGCAGCCTACGCCACAACCAAGATTTTCCCTGACTGAGGAACAGATGGCAGGAGGGGAAAAGTTCCTTCTTCTGTCCTCCCATTGATCCGTTGCAAAATAATATTTGAAATATATAAGCTACTCATATTATGGAATACCATCAGAATCTTATGATGTGTCTATTTATGGTTTAGAAAAAAAGTGATTATTTCCTGTCATCCTATATAGATAATGTCTGTAGCCTCACAGACTGAGTTAATACACGTGCTGAAGAAAAAACAAAACTCATTATTTAATCATTTTTATCATCCAGGTCAGATGTTTGAGCTGCTTCTTTAGCAAGTAGGAATGTTTTTAACACAAGAAAGCTCTTTAAGACCAATCACAAAAAGTATCTGCAGGGATTACCAAAGAATTAACCTCTCATGCCAGGAACTGACAGCCATGTGCCCCATCTACATTGTGGACACAATAGCAGTTGGCTAGGATCCATTTCCAGCTGGGCACTAAATCAGACATTGGTGGTGGACTCCAATGGGTGAGCAGGCTCCTTCTAAACCAAGGAGGGAAGCATAGCATCTGGTGGAGCCATCCCACCTGGACAGACTCAGCTTACCCACAATGATTCCAGGCCTCCTGTCCATCTCCACGATGTGCGGATGGACCCCTTTGTAGGCCGCATCACTGACCACCTGGGTGTTCTTCCTCACCCGCTCGGTCACAGGGTCATCCACAACAGGAGTAAAGCCCCTTCCCTTGGTCTTTTCAAAATCTTCATGATATTTTACCTGGAAAAGAAACAAGAAAAAAACCAACATGAGCTAAATTGGAAATGTATTGCTTGCCACATGTCTCACATATCTAAGCGATGATGTCTGTCACTAACCAGCAGCATCTAGATCATTTTCTATGATAGTTTCCAATTATTAAGAAACAATGTCTGAGACTTCAGGCTTCCAACATGAGAAAACCAGTGAGAATATTTTTGTTTTTCACCCTCAAAAAGAGCAGCTCTCTGGAGGCTGGGGCAATAGTACAGCAGGTAGAGTGCTTGCCTTGCACGTGGCCCATCCGAGTTCGATTCCCAGCATTCGATATGGTCCCCAGAGCACTGCCAAGAGTAATTCCTGAGTGCAGAGCCAGGAGTAACTACTGATCATTGCTAGGTATGACCCAAAAAAGTCAAAATAATAATAATAATAATAATAATAATAATAATAATAAAAGCTCTCAAAAGTCAGAGCTACATCCATCTTTAAATAAAAGGTTTTAAAAGATTTTGCTTTTAATGCTTTTTTTATCTTGTTCCTCTTCACTAAAATGTATAAACTAGCTTCAAACTGATTTTTCTAAACCTTAACATTTAACATGTAGTAAAATAGTAGAATATTTGTACACAATTATTCAAGAAAACAGTACCATTTATAGTTAGGTTGAAGGTTACAGGAAAATACATAAATTTGTATATAATCATAAAAACTTATTTATGCTTCAAAACATACAGTTTTATATTCTAGAGCTGGATTAGGGTTATGGTTGCTTAGTTCTAAATTATTATAGAAACTATTGTACTATAGACCTTAAATAGGTGTACTTTACAATACATATATATACAATATCATTAAAATGCTTTTAAAACATACATCTTAAAAAACTTTTTGTACCATGAAATGACACAAAACGCTATCTAAAAATTAATTGCAAAGAAATCCAGGCAAAAGTCTTTCACACAATGCACTGATGGTAGTCAAGTTAGAAATAAAACACACCAAAAACATCACTGAGAAAAATTATTTTATTAGATGAAACATTTCTATTACATTTCGGGGGGGGACCCAAAGGATGGGCCCAACAGCATTCTCATGCTTTGTTAGTTGTCCAGGATTAAGGGTGCATGAAGTGTCAGCACACCACGTGGTGCGGCTCTTTAGTAAAGTTTTAGTCGTGAGAGAGGAATCTGGTTGTGCCCTACCATTGAAATATGATTTTGTGCTTCTTTGACATGTCTCAGACCAGGTGTATCTATAATCATACTTGGTCTGCCTTTCATCTGTTTATGATCCTGGGTATATTTTACCTGCAAAGCAGATAGCAGAACATGTTTAGAAGGTCACTGTAATGTTTAAAAGTGGCATCACTTTTTTAAGCTTTCCCAATGAGTGAAACAGATAACATATTCTGAATTATTTCCCAAGTAACTTAATTCTCTGACTTACTCAGGTCTCGAATAATGACTGAAAATAATTTTACTTGAAGATCTCTTTTAATGGCTTCAGGAAAAAAAATTCACTGAAAGTGCAGTCAGTTACAGTGGTTTTTAAAGTTAATAGGAAACCCAAAACCAATAGGAGCCTATAGTTACTTTTCTGGTTCTGCATTTCCCCATTTTTCACCATGACACCACAGAAGACACAAACGAACATTCCCACAAGTTTCATTTATTTTGTCCCTCCATAGAGGATAAGAAACGAGGAACACATTGTTCCCTTTACAACCTAAAGGTAATTGATATTATTCCAGTATCTCTGGACAGGAATGCCACCAGCAGCTGCAAACTGACAAACATAAATGCTGACTCGTGGCCCCAGAGCCCATCTTGAAATTTGACCATCAGAATGCTAGAATGAGAAGCTGCCCATGTGTAAGATGAAGATACCAATTATTGCCCACCCTAGGGCAATGTATGCAACTCAGAACCAAAGGCCCAACAGATACACAGCAAGATAAGTACACTATCCAAAAAAGATAGGGATATGCACCACTAGATGAAAATCAGCAATGATTTTTACATCGCATCTGACAGTGTTTTCCTCCTAAAGTCTTGCAATGGAACAATGACTCATTTCTTACCTGGTTTTGCAGAGAGCATCTAACAATGCATATTCAATGGTCTATATCTGTGAAATGACAACTATTCATTTTACACATCAAAAACATTACTACTTTCAAAGATGCTGGCTGAAATAACATAAATCATTGTTCCAATCGACTTGATAAAATTAAAACTAAATTCTAAATATGATTGTTGCTCACATCAAGAACTATCAATTAAGGGTTGCAAGATAATATCATTTTGTAGAGTGACAGCTCTTTGAAATCATCTAAAGCATAATTGGGCTTAATACAATGTATTGCCAATGTTTCTCAAAAGTAGATTTTATTTTACACAAAAATTAAAGAACTGCCAGTAAACCAAAAAAAGTGCATCTTTTGTGATAGTCCAAAATGAATAAAACCACTTGCCGAACTAATATTTTCTTGATTCTTCTTTACCCTTTCCATTTCAGGAGTCACGCTTAAAGCTGTAGCTCTTCCCAGTTGACCTTTATAACAAACCTATCATTTCAGACAACAAAAAACAATAGAGTGCCATGAATCATCTCAATACAATTCCAAGTCTCATGGTATTTCTATTAAAAAGCAGGTCAAAAAAGATAACTGACAAACCACCATGTTTTAAATGCTTACATCTTAAACAAATCTATTTTAATTCACTTCATCACAGTGACTGTGTCCAAATCACAGTAAATGGACTCAAATAGTTGGGCCTGCCATCAATAACTGTGTAATAAGCATTTCATCACTGAGAAGTAGAGAAATGTCTTTGTGGATATGACTTATGGAACTCCTAGCCTTACTAGTATGAGTGTGTAGTGGTATTTTAGTAATTAAATGTCGCAGAACTTTGGAAAACATGGTTACTCTGGTCATCCATCAACAGACCAGCATGCTTCCCACCCCTCCATTACTCCTTCCATGTTACTTTGTGAGAGTAATGAAGTCACATCAAGAGTGACTCTAAAAATATTGAAAAGATGAGCATCTACTTCTCCCAATCACAGCTGTTAGGAAAAGTTCCAAATAATAACCTGCCTTTGCTTTAGAACCTGGCTAAAAGACTTGAAATGTTTGAAGAATAAAAGATTTCTTTAAACTTAATAGATTTCCAAATTTCCTCCTCCAAAGAACCCAATCTATATGTTAATGACTTCAAGAAAAGGATTCTCTGCATGAACTACATTCTAGGATTACATAAACAGAAGGGAATCAGGAGTGGGGAGTCACGAATGAAAGCCCTATATCAAGTGGCCCTAAAGTAGACTTGTGCACAGGGATCTCTTCAGCTTGCATATTTTATCATTTCTCCCCCATAGAGAGTCGAAAATAAAATGACAATTAGGGGAACTCAGAGATAGAGAGTGAGGTAGGAAGTAACTAAAATAAGAACGAATCTCAGAAGCACAAAGACTGCTTATTTGTCTGCCTCTCTTTGGGCAACCCCAAAGCACGAAGCAACACCAAAGCAAACCTAAGCATGAAGACAAGATGAGAGGGATACACAGAACTCCAAGATTAAAATCATAATGGGAATTCTGTCTGGTTACCTCCTGTTTTCAGCCTAAGATCCTAAAACCGTCCCAATTAGTAGCCACTGAGAGTAGAATGGTCACTCAGGGTCATGGAAATTCTGCTAACACAATCCCTTCTCTGACATACAGATTATACATTCGCTATCAAAGGAAGAAAGTTGCAAAGAGCACACATTGCTGATGTTCTTCTGGTTCTCCTTCACTCTCTTCAGCTCCGGGGGGTCAGATATGGTTGTTGCCTGTTTCATCTCTCCTTTGTATTTGACCTATGAAAAAATATATAAGAATTTTAATCTATAGCAAAATGGTCTCCATCCAAATACCACAGAGACTGAGACTCAGAATTAACCTTATCTCTTTCACACCTTTTTTCCATAGTAGCGATGCATCAGCTTTCATACTCACCTCTACACCAGAATCATGGATTCTGATTCACATCACTAAGCAAACGCATAGGCTTGGTTGTGCTTCTTTAAAATGATTTTGTAAAATTCAGGGTCACCATAAGAATAAATCTAGACACTTATTTTCTCCTACATCTGGAATCAATCACTCTTAAGTTTTAAAGCCTTTTAAATAACTTAAGTTGGGGAGAAGAACTCTGTTGCTTATATTAGTAAAAGTTCTATTAAGAAAACAGAAAAATAATTATGTATTTTTGAAAGAGATTTTTTGATTCTCAAGACCTGGGTTCAAAGCTTTGATCTATCCTTACATCCTGCTGGTCCAGGGAGGTATTCTGATCTCCCAAAGATTTGCACTGCAACACCAAGAAACTATAAAAATGATCTTATGAACCTCATAGATTCACATAAGGTACTTAGCACAGTGTCCATGGTAGAGGTGTCTCATGATTAATAGTCACTGTATTGTACTAGATCATTGAATAAGGTTTTCTGCTATGTTTCTAAAATTCCCTAAATGAATCTTAGTACCCCAGTCAAGTCAGGTCTTCTTTTGTTCTGTTCCAGTAGATAACATTTTTTTTCTCAGCTTAGCCCAAGACCCACTAATCCTCTGATCCTTACCTAGATGTACATTTGTAAGTTTACCTATTAAACTACAAAGTCCTTAGGAACTGGAACTTAATCCAGCTTTATGTTTTAGAGACCAAAACAACGCCTATTACATTAAGGGTGTTTCAACAAGCCAGTGGTGATTTAAGGTGCCAGGAGTAAAATGGGGGTAATTAATACTTAACAAATATTTCTTGAATACACAAAGATGGTAAGTTTACAGCAACACAGACCCAGAATTTTGGGGTCCAGGTTGAAGAGCCATAGTTCAAACCCTTCGATATGTGCACGTGAAAAGAAACATCCCAGTATGGAGAGTGTGGAAAGCTTCCTGAGAGCACAGCAAAGACAGAGCACAGCAAAGAGAGAACAAGCAATGTTAACCAAGAGGAAGAAGAAACTTGCCATGCTCAGCTGCTCCTGGTTTCTCCTCACTCTCTCTATCTCTGGGGTGCTGCTGACTGGAGTTGCCTTGTAGTTCTGCTCTTTATATTGCAGCTGGGAGACAAGACATGGGACAGGGTAGGTTTATAGGAAGGACATGTGAGCCATGACAATGGGATAGATTAACAGAAACATCACAAGCCACAGAGCGATTATTCACTGAAGTCTTAATTAGGAGTGTACAGAGGAAGATGTATTGCTAACAGACTTCATCTGTTTAGGGATCCCAGACTCGAAAGCAACATTTATCAAATCATCATTGTATATTTTTGTTATGGAGTTGATTTTCCTTTTTGTGGTCTGGGGATGGAGCCCAGGTCTCATGTATGCAAGGCATGTGGTTTACACTAGCTCATGTGCCCACACACCATTGTATATTTAAAAAGAATAATTCTGTGGTTAAATAGGTCCATGTTATGCAATTAAAACAACAGTAAGAATGCTGTTCTCTTGTCATTAGAGCTCCCACCAGTCCCAGGCTATACTCCAGACTCCTGTAGTGAAATCAGGAAACTCGGTGTCTTCTCTACTGAAGTCCTAATATGAGAAGCCCTGCCCTCTAGTTAGCACCATGGAAATGTCCCCAGCTACACAGAGGTGCACTTTCATAGCTGAAGGAATCAGATTTCATCATTTGTGATCAGCTTCTTTGGTAAACAATGCTCCAACACAGAGAAGCAAAATGGCATGTCCAGCAAATAAATTTTGACAAGCAAAACTAGAGGATAAAGTTTCATAACATGTTACTCCATAGTCAATGATTTTTAAAAGTGTAATATTTAGTATTGGTATTTTGTTGCTTTTCTTTCAATATGGTCAACAGGGGTCCAGCAGAAAACATACTTGAATATCTCCCCTCCTCAGTGTTGAGGAGTCTGATACCATGTAAAGAGATGACAAAAGACCTGACCCACTGTGACTATTTCCTCAATGTGCTACTTACTTCATGCCATCGAGCACAGCTCAATAGTTTCAGCAGTTTCAAGATGGGTAACTGTGCTAAAGGTGGTAAAGTTCTAGAATAATCTCTATTGATGGCAAGAGACAAGAAAGGATGACTCTTGGTTAAGCTCAGAGGGGAAACATCCATTGAGCAGCACTGCTGATACAAACTGCTGGAATCCACTGGTCTCCAGTAGGTGGATGCTGGGAGACATAAATGTGATGCAGGGACTTCTCAAGTCTTGTCCACTCAGAGATGTGAGTGTTTTTCAGGCAACAGCTCACTCAATACTCTAGTTCCTGAATTATAGATGAGAAAATTGAGGTATGAGGAGGATTTCTGAGGGCTAGACAAGAAATGATCAAAGTGGGGTATGCATGGAAAACTAACAATCTAAGGGTCACACTTAACCTCACAAATATAGAGTTCTCCATACTTCTATTCGGGATTTTCATATGCCTGACCAGATGTCCCTTGTGATGTGCATAATATTATTTTTTCATTAAAAAATAAATCAGTGAGGCATGAAAAATAAACTCAGTGGTTTTCAAATATAGTTTTGTCTAGGGAGTACATCTATGTTACTATGGTGGATTGAAAACACCCTTGTTTTAGAAAGAGGACAAATGAAAGCAATTCATCTCTGTCAAGGTCCAATCATGCAGTCGACACTTATTAGTTGCAGTACAATGTTATCACAGTCCCCACACTCTGGAAATCTGAGGGGCTAGTGGAGTAACCAATGACAGTGTGGTCACAGACCTTTGTACACTTGATCCATCTCTCGCCCCTCATACCACCTGCCACCTTTCACTCATGACTCCAAACTTTACCCTTCAAGTCTTGGACCCTGGACATTAGTTAGTTTAGTAATAAAAAAGTCCCTTCTGCACATGCAATCTTTATAATTTCTTTGGTACCACACCCAAATATGACTCTCTCTAAGGAGGTTCCTCTTTATACAAATCTCCCTTCTCCAGCCTTTAAGCCACTGGATTTTGCAAAGAAATGAGAACTTACTATGAAATGAGACCATGTGTACCAAGAACTCAGAAAGCACAGTATACATCTAAACACTATTCATTGTTTTAAAATTGGAACAACAGATAAAAGGTGTTTTATCTCTGGTTCAGTTTCTTCTAGTGACAGTAAAAATTCTACCAGTTCTGGTTCATCAGATAAAACTCACTGGACATGGAAGTGCCCTCCTCAGAAAATAAGAACAGAAGAGATGAGCTTTGGTGGGTTTCTAGTTGTACACACAGCACTGGGCTTGCCTGATTCTTAGATGGTGAAATCATCTCCATCTCTAAGGACATGCTCTACCTTTGTATAGACTATTATATTTGTAGTCATGAGGCCTTGTGTGATCAAGTATCAGACCCTTACTGTGGATCAACATTCAATACAATAGAAAAAAGCACTTAAGTGTGACCACACATTGTTGATATTCTTCTGGTTCTCTTTCACTTTCTTTAGCTCTAGAGGACCAGTAATGGCTGTGGTCTGTTTTATTTTGTCTTTGTATTTCATCTATGTAATTTTTATTTTTAAAATTTATTTCTTTTTGTATTTTTGAGCTTTTGCTCAACAAAATACTCAAACAAGCTAAGAATTTTCCACTTCTAACTACTGTGTAATTGAATGTTTAAATGTTTAAATTTAAATTGAATGTTTAAATTAAATAACAATTTTTCTTCAAAGTGAACACAAATTTTAACTTGTATCAGATACTTTAAGGATCTCTTTATCCTATCAAGCAAATAAAACTATATTCACCTATCCATAAGTGAAATAATTTTTAGTTAAAAATTTAAAATGTTTCATAAAGATAAAAAAAGGCCCTCCCGTTGATCATCGATTTGCTCGAGCAGGCCCAGTAACGTCTCCATTGGAGACTTTGTTGTTACTGTGTTTGGCATATCAAATACTCTTGGTAGCTTGCCGGGCTCTCCGAGAGGGGAAAATGTTTCATAATACATAAAATGTTTCATAATAAAAATTAATTAAAAAACAAAAAAAATTTAAATGAAAGAAAATTTTTTTTAAATGTTTCTTATAAAAATGTTATTAGATATATGCACAAAAAGTCTTGGAAAATATCTTAAAGCAATATAAATATCTCTTATTTTTTAGTGTCTATTAATATATTGACTGACATTCACCAGGGTGAGCAGAGCCCCAGCAGCTGAAGACCTCCGGTTCCAGTCACAGCCATGCTTAAGACCACTCTCCACATGTTTAGACTAGCCTCACTAGCCTCACTCATGAAATGAACAGCAGAGGAACCCAGGAGTGCGGGACCTGGGGCATAGATGGATTGGGACTGGGGCCTCCTCCACCCAGATCCCCCCTTCCAGGCATTACACCCACCAACTGCCCCCGGCACCATGTAATCCCATCAACGGCCAAGACCCAGGGACTATAAAACCCTATTCCCAGAAGCAACATTTTATTATCTAGGTCTTACTCTGGTGAACCTGGCAGGCTACCAAAAGTATCTTGCCCACACGGCTGAGTCTGGCAAACTCCCCGTGATGTATTCAATATGCCAAAAACCTGTAACAATGATGGGTCTCATTCTCCTGACCCTGAAAGAGCCTTGAATGTGGCACTTTTTAAAATCTCAGGGCTAGGATGAAGGAGACGTTACTGGGGCCTGCTTGAGGCAATCTATGACCAACAGGATGACAGTGATGCAGTGTTCTTTTTAGTGCCTATTAAGATATTGACTGACATTCACCGGGGTATTTAAGGGCAAATTTGAAACAGGAGCAGAGAAGAGAAGCAGAAACTCAGAGAATTTCTTCCTCATACATGATCATCGCATGTAAAATCTATTTCTAAGCTCCAACACTCCTCCTTCAAATCTAGTTAAAAACACATGAACCTCACAAATGACAATGGCAGAACATGGATACAAGTAGTAGAAGTAACAGTTCTCTAAATTTATGACATGATTAGTGATGCCACATCATGAGGTATTTTTCTATGTCTAAAATTCATGGAAAATGACACGTCAGAAAAGGGCGTGTGCAGACATTTCTATGTGTGAAAACCAAGGCTAGACTTAAGTGGTGCATGTTGAAATTTAGCAATAGCTTAAATCCACAAGAAAAATATGTTTTAGAAATCACATGCTAGTGCTCAAAATGAGGAAGTTTTAAACCTATGCAGGCAATAACAAATAAATGGTATCTAAAGTTCTCAGATACTACCTGCAGGCTTAAACACAACTAACAATACCAATATTAGTTCAGATCTAAAACAGTTAAACTGAAAGTATCCAGGGACAGGCTACCTCTAAATAAGATTCAAAACTAGCTCCTAATAGAGAAAACTAATAGCTAAAAGGCTTGTACTCTGGAGGTGGAAAAACGTCAAGCTCTTTAAATGTTATAGAATCATATCTTGGTTTGACATATCTAGCTAATCTTGAAAGGGCAACTTTCCATTTGAATACTAAACAGAAGTTTATGGCCCAGCCTCACAGAGACACACAGCCATGCATTTAATGTCTGCTAGAAGAGGCGATGAGAAGCTGGGCCAAGAAATGATATACAGAATGACTGTGCGTGATTTTCCTTGGGTGGGAAGCTAAATATGATTAAAGATGAGCATCTTTGTTTTTCAAACAATTCAAACTCATCAAAATGGCACCATTATTTCACTGTTGGCAACAGCAGGACACACTACAGGACATTTATAACGTCGTATTGTAGTACATTGATGGGTACATTTCAAATATTGTCTTGAAAGTGCAGAAAATACTGTATACATCTTTCCCATACTAATTTCTCTGTCAGACAGACATGTGTGGGGCCTGACCCAGACTCTCACTCTGACAATGAGACAAGCTCATAAGACGATCAGATCTCCTCATAAGAAGATCCTTCTTTTGCTTTTTTTTTAGAAGACAACTTCATACATGCCACCAAGACTATATAGCATGAGTATTATGCAGCCTCTGCAAAAATTCATGTTGAAGGATGTATTTCTATGAAATTACGTTGCCTTTCCTGCTGTTTCCTTCTTATTCTAGGATCAGAGTGACTGACAGACGAGTCTCACCAAGGAAGTTCTACTTGCATAACTTCAAGAAAAACTCTAGAAGATACAGTCTCCAAGAGTAAAGAGAAAGGAACAGATTTAAGAAAAGAACTCTTTTGACTTTTTCAACAAGAAATAATTAAATATGTGGAAGAAGACCTGTTGGTAAGGAGAGCAATTATCCACATCAAACACAGAATTGAGAAGCTTTTAATGATAAAGTAAGTGCCTTTTCTACCCTTCCCCCATGCTCAAAGGGAACTGGCAAATAAATTATTTTATCAATTATTGTAAAGGTGTGTGTTTTCTTTGCTGAAATCTGGAAGAAGCAGAAGGCAAATAGGATCTTTAAAACCTTCTCTTAAGTCACCAAATAAATAATGTAGGGGCTTTCATCATTCGATCAGGGTAAAATTTTCCTTTCTCAAAGTTATAGAGAGCTACTGAAATGTATATTTTCTCCGAAAATTTTAATACCATTAAAATACTGTTCAAAAAGAGGAAATCTAATCCTAGATTGCATTACTAGACTATTAAAGTGATCTATCTCTATGCACTATGATATATCAAGATGAAACACTGCTTAGGTTCAAGGGGGAACAGGCTACTCTTGCCTTCTGGAAGTTAAGCCTTTGATATTAGATGAAATAGCATTTCAGCAGAGTGAAAAATAAAAGAGAAAGGCAGCCAGTTTAGGAAAGAACTAAAAACATTTATCTAGCTTATGTTTGCTTTTGAAAAGGATAATTAATGCCATAGAGAACTTACTGAACTAATATTCTGCTGATTTTTCTTCACTCGTTCAATCTCTGGAGTATCTTTTACGGATGTGCCAGCTCCTATTTCTTTCTTATAAAATACCTTTATTAAAAGAGAAGGAAAAGAATTGCTATAAGCTTATTAGAATTCAAGTCTATATCTGTTTCATATGAAAGAAAGACAATGTCTCAGGTTTTCAAGTAATATGAATACAGCATCTATTGATGAGTACCAATATTATGTCAACCAATTAAATCTATCCATTATGAGAATAAATGCCCAATTTTGGTTTCATATTCCATTATATCACAAATAGCTCTCAAATGCCTGTCCTAGTATACAGCCCTTGGGTAACTGCAGGTTATTTAAGAACAAAATAACAAACTAGAGTTTACTTCTTTGAATATAAATATGTCACATGTAATTAAGAAAAATCAAAGTTTATAAGATGAAGGCTCACTAAGCAACCATCATTTAATTCAAAGACAGCATGCAAGTTCAAGCAAGTGCTATTCTCCTAATATAAGAATGCTCTCATTATCTTCAAAGAAAATGTTAACTCTATCCACATCAACAAGGATGCTCCCATTCTCTTCAAAGAACATGTTAACTTTATTATCAACATTCACATTAATCATGTCTCTTTGACACAGATTTATTTGTTAACCTAACCCCAGGACTCTCTTCCCCACAACCATCCTTTCCAATAGAGTAAAACCAAAGCATTCTAGAGAAAGCCAGAACAAGCAGAAAAAAAGGCATATCAAAACAGAACCAACTCCTCTCTCAATACCTAGCAACCCAGTATGGCCTACTAGGAGTTGGATTTTTCTCTGAAAGCTAAAAATCTGGTAACCTATGAAATCTTCTGGGGTACTAGAAATTATCTGGAACACCCCAATAATATCAGGGGCTCCCAGGGTTACATCTGGTGGTGCCCAAGGTACCGTTGTGAGGCTGGAGATTAAATAGGGGAAGCAAAGGGTTGGCTGCATGCAAGGCATGTACCTTAATCCCTGTACTATTTGTGCATCCCTGTGTATGACCAATATTTATATTTTCTTTCAATAATTATAATTTTATAATTCATTTAATATAATCATTAAGCACAGACCCAACTTCTGAATGAATGGTGCCAATACAATTCCCACAAATAAAGATACAAACAATTTGAAACTGGTGATATATCCCTAGATATAATATCAGTGCAAATAAATCCTTAGATATATTATCAGTGAAAATAATTATTGTCCCAGGAAGAAAATCACTTCATATAATGATTTTCATTTTCAAACATAATTTGAGTAGAAGAACAAGACTATCTTCTTTGGTGAAATTTTAAAATTCACTTAAAAATAACTCAGTTGAGCAATAGCACAGCGGGTAGGGTGTCTGCCTTGCACGCAGCCAACATGGCCGACCCGAGTTCGATTCCTTCGCCCCTCTCGGAGAGCCCGGCAAGCTACCGAGAGTATTCGATATGCCAGACACAGTAACAACAAAGTCTCCAATGGAGAAGTTACTGGGCCCGCTCGAGCAAATTGATGATCAACGGGAGGGCCTTTACTTTACTTTACTTTACCAAAGAATAAAGTTCGAATTTGTAATAATTCTTTTTTAAAAAGATAAATTATAACTTGTAAGATCATTTGATACTTTTATTATTTTAAAGCAGAGATAATACATTTTATAGAAAATTCAATCAAAATAGCAAAAAAGTCAGATAATGAGCAACAATGGTTCTTCTTACAAAACAACACTGCAAGGTGACAACAGAAATAATGAATACTCACAGCACTAATGTTTTGTTGGGTTGTCTTAATTCTCTGAATTTCTGGAGTATCTACCACAGTGGAATAGTTAGAGAGCATTTTCTCTGCTTCATCTTTATACTTTCTCTAAAACAAACAGTTAATATGAATCTGAATCTGCTCAAGGGTAATGAGAAAGACAAAATGACAATCCTCCTAACTCAACCACACTGCTATAAATTATAATTTAGAATTCTAAGCAATTTCTGATGCAACAGCAAAAAATGGAGGGTGCATGCAAACAAAGTAAACAGACAGGGGAGCAACCTTGCCTGCTTAGGCAATATTACCCACCTTAGCCCATTCAAAGACCTTGGGAACTGGACCTCGATGCCACACCTAATTCTGAGACCTAATCTTCCATCAATAGTTCCACTCTCTGTTAAAATCAGCCCTAGAGATCCTGCAAGTTTTTCATATTTCTAAATTTTTGCTTTTCACCCTACTTGGATAAAACACCTGTGCCTAAGGGAAAGGTATTCATGTTTTTTCTGGATGAGGTGAAAATCTCAATTTTCTACTTACTAATTGTCCTGTGCATTCTAATACAACCTGTACACTGCTAAGCACCAGCAAACACAGTATTTACTACATGAAAGGTAATGTTTGAAATAATAAACATGCAGTAACTCAGTCAACCCTATGCAGATGGGTTATTATTGCCTCTTATAGATGGGAAAAATAAATATCAGAATTAAGATTCACACCCCAAAACACTGGTACTAAAGCCAGTGAAGTTGGCCATTATTGCTGCAGGTGAGAAAAGGTAATTACTGTTTGTATTGAAATGCACCAGAGTATCATTATAACCTTTCATAAGTATTCCATTATATCAAAAACAATTTTAAAATCTCTTAAAATCAGGGGGCTGGAGTGATAGCACAGCGGGTAGGGCGTTTGCCTTGCACGCGGCCGACCGGGGTTTGAATCCCAGCATCCCATATGGTCCCCTGAGCACCGCCAGGGTAATTCCTTAGTGCAGAACCAGGAGTAACCCCTGAGCATCGCCGGGAGTGACCCAAAAAGCAAATAAATAAATAAATACGTAAATAAGTAAAATCTCTTAAAACCATATGGGTCTCTTGTCACATTCAGAAAATCAACACTATCGAATTTAAGCATGGCCTCTGACCTCAGCAGGAAATACTTCCAGAACTGGAAGCTTTGACTTGAGTCAATATCTTCATCTCTTTCTTTATTGTCAGGGAGGCACTACTCCCAATAACACCATGTGGCTCTCAAGAGGTAATGTGATATGAGGGTCTCACACATGCAAGATGTGCACTTTATAGCCTCAGCCTCACTTTGACCCTTGATACTTTTGCTACCTGTCATGATTTGTAAAACTTCAACTGCATAACTGTTTGACTATTAGCCTTCAATTTTCCCCAAATAAAACCTTGTCTAATTTTACATATAATTTCCCAAGTGTATAGGACATATAGGACATATTTGCCCAATTAACAAATAACATTGTTGAGACAACTTTTCTCCCCTAACTCAATTAACACTAAAACCATATAAAAGAGACTTCTTCCCCTAAATCATATTTTATCAATAATTTCCTCCATTAAATATTTTCTTTCACAATTGTTTTTCCTATATCCAATTTCTCATTTATAAATATGTAATGTGTATACTCAAAAAATAAAATTTTATAGGAAAATGTAGTTTTCTCCATGACTAGTTAAGATTCAATTTCATTTTATAATTTGCAGAATTTTATTCATACTTTTATTTGGACCTGATTCTTTTAATGATCAAATTCACCATGAAATGGATAAAGGACAACTCATTTTGTAATCTCTTTTCTATAGAGTGAGCATTAGAGCCAAGTGTACAATAAAGTATTTAAAAGATCAAAATGTACTGAATTCCAAACATGGGGTCCAAACAAGAGAACATTAATGCTCAACAGTATTTAGTTTTTTGAATCTGTAGTTCCTTTTCTTAGTGAGGTATGTCACATTTAATCAATGATTCCTTCAACATCAAATGCACTGACATTTGTAAATAGGAAACCTGAATAGACCAAGAAAATCCCAAAAAAGATACTGGACATGAAGACACACAGAACATGTGGGGACTGGATATGAGAAACGTTATCTTGAGGAGATTTGTTCCCTACTCACCTGGCTGTAGATTTCAGATGCTCTCTTGGCTCGAAGCATGTCTGGGATATCCATGCTCACTTGCATTCCTTTTCCTTTAATTTCATTTTCTAAATCTTTCTTATATTCTTTCTGGAAAATTTTTTAAAAATGATGATCAGAGAGCTCTGCTCCATAAAGATGTTGATATTTATGTGCTTGGATCTCAAAGCCACATGTGTGGAAATAGCACTCACACTCTTCATACAGACAATCCTGGTGTATTTGCTTTACTTTGTCTCCCATTACTTTCTTACCTGGCTGGCGATTTCAGATGCCTTTTTAGCTCTCTGGATATCAAGAGTGTCCATGCTCACCTGCATGCCTCGCCCTTTTATTTCAGTTTCTAGATCTCTTTTATAGTCTTTCTGTAAGAAGAAGAAGAAGAAGAAGAAAGCATGAAAGTAAGGCCCTTTATTAATCTTTAAAACTATGCAAAGAAAACAGATGTCACTTTGAAAGCAGGACCATGGCCTTTGAAAATAAGGTAGATTCTTGTCTCATTTACATTTATAGAACAAGAAAAAAAATGTCATGGTAGGAGCCTGACTTAACTATTCACCAGAAATCAAGAAGAATTTTTCTACTAACCTAAATTAAGAAAGAGTCAGGAAGGGGCTGGAATGATAGCACAGCATTTGCCTTGCATGCGGCCAACCCAGGTTTGGTTCCCAGCATCCCATATGGTCCCTCAAGCACCACCAGGAGTAATTCCTGAGTGCATGAGCCAAGAGTAACCCCTATGAAATACCACGTGTGACCCAAAAAGCAAAAAAATAGAAAGAAAGAGTCAGGGGTCAATGAGATCATACAGTAAGGAGCTCAACTTGTACACAGAAGACCCAGCCCCATATACAGTTCCCTGAGACATACCAGGAGTGATCCCTGAGTTCAGAGTTAGGAACAGCCCTCTGAGTACTGAGCTAGAAATACCCATTAGCACTGCCATGTGTAGCCCAATCAGTCCTCCACCATTGACAAATTAAAGCAATAAAAATATTCTAGTGGAATTAAAAGCATATGTGGGGAGTAAAAAAGTGATAGAAATCAACCCACCCAGAGAGAATGAGCAGAAAGGGGTCAAAGGTAACTCCTTAAAAGAAAATCAATAGTGCACTGTTTAATTTCCAGGTGTTTGATTTAGTTTTCTGTTTTTGTGTGTGATTTACTTCTAATTTCAGCGCATTATGGTCTGAGAAGATTGTTGATACAATCTCTACCTTCTTAATTTTATGGAGGCATGTTTTGTGGCTCAGCATGTGGTCTATCTTGGAGAATGTTCCATGTACGCTTGAGAAGAATGTGTATTCAGCTTTTTGTGGATGAAGTGTCCTGTATATATCTACTAAGTCCCTTTCTTCCATTGTTTCCCTCAAATGAAGTATGTCCTTGCTAAGCTTGAGTCTGGTTGATCTATCAAGAGGTGACAAAGCAGTGTTGAAGTCTCCCACTAGTATTGTGTTGGAGCACCAAATAAAGGATGTTTGGAGGATCCTCCCAGGAGGGGAGATGCATGTCGAAAGTAGACTATGGACTGAACATGTTTGCCACTCAATGCCTCTTTTGCAGACCACAACACCCAAAAGGAGAGAGAGAACACAGGGGATTGCCCTGCCACAGAGACAGGGGGCTGGGGGGATGGGGGGTGGGAGGGATATTATCCATGTTGGTGGAAAATGGGCACTGGTGGAGGGATGGGTATCTGATCATTGTATAATTGAAACCAAAGCACAAAAAATTGTAAATCTACAACTTTAAAAAAATAATAAAATAAAATAAAGGGGAAAAAAAGAGCAGAAAGGGGAAAAAAAAAAGAAAATCAAGAAAATATTTTTTGTGTGAGATGAGGAGAGGGTGGATTTTTTTCTTTAAAAGAGAAATGATCATTTTTCCCATTGTGTATACAAAGGAGATGGCAAGCATCGTATTTTAATTGCACTGACTTGGGAAAGATGACAAGGACTGAGCTACTTATAATCATCTTACACATAAAAGTTACATATCTCATCCTAGAGAAAGACTTACTGAAAAGGAAATCTGCTAAAAATTTATACTAATTCATTTGTAAATATACTCACCTCACTAACCATTTCTGATGCACGTTTTGCTCTTTGAATATCAAGAACATCTGAACTAAGGTCCATTCCTTTTCCTTTTATTTCATTTTCAAGGTCTTTTTTATATTCTTTCTATGGAATAAAAATAATAGAGTTTAAACTTTACTGGCCAGCTCTTGAACTGGTATATTTACATGTTCTCTAGAAACCACAGAAAGAAGAAAATATTTTTAAGAAAGACCCTTTGAGTATTCATGTTCCTGATTTCCCTTTCAATCATGTTAGGGTAGCTTTCAATATTATCAGTATTTCCCGCTTAATCCTTTCTTCCAATATATTTTGGTACCATATTGGTGCCATATTTTTAAAATATGTTTTCCTTTTAACTGTTGAGGAAGATCTTAGGAATACATACCTCTTGTTAATTATTTGAAGTATTTCTTTGAAAGCTGTCTGTAAAATATGAATCATTAAAATAAGTTTTAAGGAATGGAAAACTGAAAAATCAGAAGGGCTGACTGATGTACGCCAAGCTTTTAAAAAGTTTTATAAAAACAAATAATTTCCTATAGATTTATCATGTGTTTCTTAAATTCCATCTATTTTAATGTCATATTTTTAGCAAATCCAAATATCTTTACTAATATATATTTTGGATGACTTCTGGTGCTAATGAATCCCTGACTTTCTTACTAAATAAATCATGAAAATGATATGTATCTTAATCCAATTCAGCTAAGTTGCATTTATGACTAACTTGCCAGATGAAAGATGAGACTTCCCTTAATGATAAGAAATCAGGTTCCAGTTAATTCTAGGGTTCATTTGATGGTTATTTTCTCTTTGTCCAGCATAATTAAATTATCCGGTTCTCTGCTTAACTAATAGCCTACAAGACAATGTAATGTCCTGCATGTAATTTTGGAAAATGCCCAGAACCCAATGACCTGGATATAAGTCAGAGTTCTTTCACTTATTTGACCATGGAACTTTCAAGAGGACTTTCTGTAACTGAGCACTGACTTGAATGCGAGGGGACAATAAAATAAAAATACACATGCTACCAATAGCACAGGGCAATTGGGAAAATCAAATGAGGTACAAAATGACACTCTGAACGCTCTCAGTGGCACTGAGAATGTAAGAACCATAAATATAGAATGTGCAGTCAATTTAAAGCTAAATGCTTTCACACTCAGAAAGGAAAGTTAGTTTCATTTAGCCACTAAAAGCCCCTTTTCAAAACAAGACATGTCCATAACTTAATTAAAAGATTTTTTATTCATAGTCTTCTGGGTCTTTTACCCTGATACATACATTCTGAATCAATAAATCTAAAAGAAGATTTGCTTAAAATGAGGAATAAAGGAAAAAGCAATGGCATTTATATCAAAGTAGTTTTTGAAACTCAAAACAGATCTCATATTGTCATTTGTGTGTAAATGATGAAAATATTACCCTTTCAAAACCCCTATAGTCCATATTTTTCAAATGAGACACAATAATAGCTATAAGTTGAGAGAAAAGATATGCCTATGTCAGCCCAACTCCTATTACAGCCATGAATCACATTCAGTTTCTAGATGCAGTTACATGGTAACAGTCAATGGTCATCTGATTACTTAAAAAGTTCAAAATGGAAATGGGGTTCTATTCTGAGTGGCAGACCAGGCCACACGATTGATCAAAATGTAGAATCAACATCAAGTGATTTGGGAAGCATATTTTTTGGCATTTAGACAGTTGCTAATAGTGGAAAGTATTTTAAAATTACTTTTCTTTCCTTCTGAAAAAGTACAATTAAAATACTTCTTTTCCAGAAGGAAAGAAAAGTTCCGAGATGATGAGATTGTTATATAGATAATTATTCTCTAATTCATCTCACTGGCTTAAGACAATTCCTTTCAGGAATACTTTCTTCATGTGGACATGTGGGATGAAGTTCTCTAATGCTTGTTAAAGTAAAATTAAAGACAAAAAAACCCCCTTCTTTTTAAATTAAGATAAATCTGGGTTTCAAGAAGACATTGTAGGGGAACAAATTCTACTCTTTAAAAATGTATGCTACTGCACATATCACCAAAATTCCATCAAATCCATGGGACCTCTTTTGGGGGGCTCCCTCTCTTTATCCCCGCCCCCTCCAACTCCTCTGGTACCCTCAGCCCTGTCACTAAGACTAGGGCTTTGTTTGTGTGTGTATGTGTGTGTGTGTTCCCTGCTTCTCTAGATCCTACACATGAGTAAGACCATATATATTTGCCTTTTAAAATTATGAAATATGACATGTTCTTTTGATTGTGATTTATTTTAAAGACCTGAAAGTTTGACAAATTCAATAAACCAATTGTAAGTCAGAATGCTCCACTATAGTTGGGGGCAGTTGTAGGGGGTGAGGAATAATATTGCTAAGAATAAAAGGAAAAACTGACATGAGTTCCAATGTTCTCTATGCCATCTATATTTTCCTATTTACAACACAAACTAATTATAAAATATGTGCCACTCACTCAAACCTTCACCGCATTTCAGAGATCATAGAATGTTACAGAGAAACATCAGGGTAATGTTGATTTTTGTAAAAATCAATGTGAAAGAATCCAGCTCACCTCAGCATTACTCTTACTCTAAATAAATATATATATGTGTGTATATATATGTACATATATATATGATCTGCTATAGAGCTATAAAACTATTTACAGAAATTTCTGAATTCCAAACAGAACATTTGGATACTTTCACATATTTCCAGGAAATTGGGGTGATTTCTTCCCCTGGCTCTGAATGGAAATGTTAACACATGCTTTCCTGTTTTTAATGAGAATGAAAAACTTTGCAAAGGCCAAAGAAAGAGAAAGAGCAATGGCATACTATCTCAAACACTCAATTAGTAATAGATCATTAAGTAAATATTTCCTCTTTATTTTGTTTTTCTCTTGTGATATTTAATAATAGCAGGATTGTACATACCTCCTTCATAAGGTTGGTGACATATTTCACATGTAAAAATTCCGGGGTCTTGTCTAAATCCAGTGCTGGCCTTCCTTTAATCTCCTTCTCATAATCCTCTCTGTAAACTTTCTGTTAAATAAAAACATCATTTAAGAAATATGACTACTTCAATTTCATTTAAAATGAATGGCTGCTAAAAGAATATTAGAACAAGAACTCCCAACAGAAAATTCACTTTTTTCTCTTAGAAGCCTCTACCACCCAAGAACATTATCAACAGAAAAGCACATCTGATTTTCATGATAAGTTGCAAAATTCTGCCAAACTAGATTCATCCAATGCCACCTCCCTCTGGGAAAGCATTCCCAGTGAGGGGACTTCATGTAAATGGGGTTGTGATGGCTTAACACCAGCCCCTTTGGAAAGGATAACCATCAAAATGGGTGATTTGGGCATTAGGACCGGATCAGAGCACACCAGGAGATGGGCCCTTCTACTGGAAGAAAATTTGGTGACACAGAAGTCCACTGCACCCCAGTGCGCATTAACTGTTCATTTTCTCCTGATCCTGCTCACTATCCTGAATTCTGGAAAGAATTTGCACCAGGTAATGGAGGCTGGAAGATGAGTAGAAGACTTTGTGCAATGATCTTGGCCTGGAGAATCTTTCACTACCATTCATGGATTTGGATAGGAATCAAGTTCCACAGTGAAGAGAATCTTATCTAGAACCTGATCATCAAGTACAAGGTCACAAAATTAAAGGAGAAGTTGACAATGACTTCTGAGGGTCTACAGCCAGCCTCTCCCTCTCACACCATCTTTTCTACCCCTTCAACTATGACAATTTTTTACATCCTGCATTTGAACAATACACATTTGAACGCAACGAACAGCATGTGCTTTATGACCATGAAGGAAGTCTTTCTAACAAAACCATCTACTCCTGAGAAACAATTACCATACAAACTCAGACCCAGATTTTACCAGCTTAATATTTATTCAAATTGCATCACAATATGATAAAAAAAATCTGCATTAGATTGTTGTCAGTACAAAATAAGAAGCTATTTCAAGATCCATTATGTGCTATTATGAGTCATAAAAAGAACCTCTAAACAATGAGAGCAGAAAAGGAAACACATCACCTTCTCCCCTACGTTTAGGATTACATGTGGACATGTCAAATACTCTAAGCAGGACTTCAAGACAGGGCAAAACAAATGTTCTAAAATCAAACAACACTAATTAAGAGGATGCATGGAGAATATACATTACTAAACAAATTACAGAGCCATGCAGAAGCAGTGATGAGAAGTTCTTCTCTTTTTGATACTGTAGGACTATTTGAGAAAAGAGGAATCTCAGACATTTTCCCAACCAAAAATCACCCTTTAAACAAATTAAATAAAATAAACAGATGTATTTATTTCCTTTATTTAATTACAAAAAGTTGTTTCTGTTGTCAAAAAACATATATTTTATTAAAATAAACCATTAGACATTCTAATTGGGGCCAGAGACATTGTACAGCAAGGAGGGTTTGCTTTGCACACAGCTGGCCCCAAGCACTGCCAGGAATGATCCCTGCCACAGAACCAGGAGAGATTCCTGAGAACAGCTGGGTATGTCCCCCAAACAAACAAAACAAACAAACAAACAAACCACTGATTATGACTAGAAGTGCCCAAAACATACAGGCCGGGGAGGGACTTCAAGGACTAACTACTTGGTGATTGTGGGCGGTGGTAATACTGTATATCAATACTGAAAATGATAATAATATTATAGTCAAATTAACTGAGCAATAATAAAAATAATTAACTAATTAATAAGGTTCTATTCATTAGCTTCTCTTTATTTGTAAAGCAGAAAGCAAGTACCTTTTCAGTGCGATATGTACAGTTTCTCTTTTCTAGAAATCCCAGTGATTGAATCTCTATCCAGCATTAGAAAGAAGTGAGAGCAGCATAATTATGGGTTAAAACAAAACATCAGTGGCTTCTTCTAAGATCATGAATACCATAAGCTGGCCTTCAGGAATCAATGACGTATCTGAGTCATATTTCCAGCCTGGGTCATGTCTTTAAAGCCTTCTTGAGCAGTAAATAAAGACATCTTTAATATATTCTTTTACCAGTCTTTATAAAATAGATCTCTCCAAAGGTATTTTTAACTGGAAGATCTTTCTCTGTCTTTTACACACACACACACACACACACACACACACACACACACACACACACACCTGCTGAGCAGAAATCTAATTGCTGAGCCTATAAATCTAATAGCCAATGGCTATAATTGAAGGGAAAACATGTCTCCACCTTTGCAAAGGATAAGGATGATTCCCCCTAGTGACAATGCCAGGAATCAGAATAGCAAATGTTGAATGCCAGAAGACTCACACAGCCTCTGATGCAGGTTAATTCTACAACACACAATAAATGTGAACTGTAGTTAAACAGTAAGCTGCTTACACCTAATATCAAAACAGCTCTCAATGCAATCTATTCTTTCATAGAAGAGAAAGTACAGAGAGGGTCAAAAAGAAGGAAAGGGGGAAATGAGACTGAGATAGTACAGTTTGATCATCAGATTGACAAGAGCCTCAAGCTGAAAGAATTCTGAGCAAAGCCAGTCTGGAAGGTACTGGAATCTCAATAAATAAGGGAAGGTTACAACTACCTATGAGAACTTGGGGACCATGGGTGAGTGCTACAGTGAGGACTCCCTCATAAAGAAGATTCTAAGGGACTGTATTCCAAATACCCTCTCTTGGCAAAAGTACAAGGTGGCTAAATGCTCTGACTTTCACCCCAATAATGCATCATTTGACCCCAACTTTCTAGGATAGTTATGCAATGTAAGTAAATAGGAAAAAATAATTCAGGAAGAGAAGTGACTAGAAAAATCAAGAGTCTAGGAACCAGATGTTCATCTACATCCAAGGTCACATTTGCAGGAGGGAGAAAATGAGATGGTGAAGATGAGTTCCCTGAGTGATAAAGACCTAAAATACCCCATGGAAACATGCCATCTCAGCTAGGATAGAGAAGGGACCACTATGACAATGGTAGTTAGAAATGATCACTCTACTGAGTGCTAAAAGTAGTAAAGGGACAAACATGTAAACTTTTTAGTACCTGTATTGCAAACCATAACGCTCAAAGGGAGGGAGAGAAAGAGAGAGAGAGAGAGAAAGGGGGGGGGAGAAGAAAAGTACCTGCCATAGAGGCAGGCTGGGGGATTAATGGGGGGAGAGTAACTGGGGACACTGATGGCAATAAATGTACATTGGTGAAGGGACAGTCATGGAACATTGTATGACTGAACCTAATCGTGAACAACTTTGTAACTGTGTCTCTCAAGGTAATGGAATTAAAATAAAAATATAAATAACTACACAAAAAACTCCATGCTATCTTTCTAGTACAAGAAACACAGAATTAGAATGCATTCACTCTATACAATTTGTTAATGAAAGCAAAAGAGGAATTAGTAGAGGAACAAACCAGGAACCACAAGAGCAGAATTGTAGTAGGATGATCCTAAGAATGAATGTCATTGAACACAAAGAAAGGCAGAGGGGTCTTGGAGAAGATGAGGGTATCTAAAATGCTCTTGGCCCTATCTTGGTGTGTTTTCAGAAAAGTAAGAGACATTGGATCCTATGTCTCTCAGTGCAAATTTACTACAGTGCAAATTTATTACAGTGAATAAGTTATATAGTCATAAGTTATAAATAAATTAGTAAAGGAAAACCCAACAGTCCAAGAAAGTGGAAAGCTTATGTAGACTATGGGTTGGTGACTAAAACCATATTATTCCTCTAAACAGGGGGAGAGTGGTAGGAAAGCTGGCCTCGATTCACCAGAGTAAACCCCACGAAATGAAAGGGGTTATGAACTGTACTTCCAAAAGACAGAAAAGGGACATGGGCTGATATTTATGTTCTTCCTGTTGCAACCCTATTCCCCATTATGCCAGCACTAGGCGAGGGTCCTTCAGGAGATGGACAGAATCAGAGGAAGCCTTGAGGATGGAGTGCTCTCCAGTGGAATCAATGTCAGGAGGGAACTTACTTCCCTCTTCCACTCTCAGCCATGTGAGGCTACAGAAGGTGGTTGTCTGCATTTGCAACTAGAAGCAGACCAGGTCATCAACCCAGCCTCCCAGTCTCCCTGGAAGAAAAATATTTCTCTCAGTTAAGCTACTCATGATCTGATCCTTTATTATAGCAGCCCATCCTGACTTAGACACAACATAGTCAGTGAAAATTGTTTCACTTATTGAAAGTTCTGAATTCTAACCAAATTTATCCACTTTGTCAATTCAATTAAAATAAATGGTTAGTTTAATCAAAACATCCTTTTCTGCACATGAGTGATACTCAGGGGTTATACTGGGCTCTGCTGTCAGGAATTTCTTTTGGAAGTATTTGGGGGATGTTATGGGATGCTGGGGATTGAACCCAGGTCAACAGTGTGCAAGGCAAGCACCAGACTTGCTGTACTATCTCTCCAGCCTCACTTTAAAACATTCTTGATCAATTTCTCCATTTACTTGAGATGATATGACATTAAAATATAAGTAATGATCTCCCCTCTTGCTTTAACTAAATAACATTTATTCCATAAGTTTTGACTATTCAATAAACCACAATAATATCTCTACCTATTCCCTAATATTAACTATAACTTTTCAAGCAAGATCACATATCCTGTTTATAAAATTCCTAGGAGAGATTTTTGTCAGGAAGTTACAATTGCTCCCGGTTTGATGTCTTTGGAGAACAGAGATCGTGCCCCTGAGAGTGTGTGGAGCACTGGAGAGGTGACAGGCTGAGAGTACTACGTACACTTCTCTCCTTTGGAAGCAATAACTCAGTTGTCCTCAGAAAATGTGGATATTGGCTGCAGACCGAGCCTTTTGTACCTGGTATCTGGTTCTCCCAAAAGGAGGGAGGGGTGAACAGAAAAAATCTCACTGGGACATTGAGAAACTAGTGTGAAAAATACATGGACATGACTTATTACCTTAGGAGAAAATAAACTGGATAATAAATAAAAAACTCTTCAGTAATCTTTCCTTGATGTTTCAAAGCTTCTCTGTAATTACTGAGTAGAGGGAGAAAGGAAGGGGTAGAGAATCAACTGAAAGAAAATCGTCTGTGAATTTTGCTGGATCCTAAAACATCGACTTTTACTGATAATTTCAGGTGAGATCATTTATGTGATCACATCATTTATGTGGCAGTATTGTTGATCTCGGTATAATCCCTATCTGACAGCATTGCCTTGAAAGGATTAGATGAGCAGACATAAAGAACACATTTGGTCTATCACTTAGCATACAGTATTTAATTGACGTTAGTTCTCTTTCTATTAAAAAAAAATACAGCAACCAGCTCTTCAATGTCTTGCTACTGTTTTTCTACTCATCGTTATTTGGTGTGGACCCAAGCAGAACAGGTTTATTTTATAATCACAGAAAGAGAGAGAGAAATATTTGGAGCTCAACCTGCTTAATAACAATATATTTCTAGTGGGAATTCTCAAGGACCTGGATTAGAATCTTCATCCTGATGCTATCACCCAGACTTGCTGAGCTTCCCACCGCAGGATGCTTCCTTCTAGAGCCCCTCAATGTTCTGGACCCCTCACTAGTGTCCTCACAGGACACAAAAGTAATCTAACAACAAACCAAAGAGACCCACCTCACTCTGCATCTTCTGAGCCTCCTTTGAAGTTTGGTATGATGGTGTCTCCACAAACTCAAGCATTGACTTCCCCTTATTTTTCTCATATTCTTCTTTATATTTAACCTGCAGTAGAAAAAAAAAGTACAGAATGCACAAAAATTCACAGAATCTTCTGCAAACAGAGCAAAGTTAATATATGCCTCCAAAATCCTATTTTCTAGAATTACATTATTCTAACCATTTAGGTTAATTACTGAATTCTCCATGGCTAATGACATACAAAGAAAGTAAACAGCCACTATACAAAAAAAATTAAAACATTAAGGGATAAGCATAATTCTGAGGGCCAAAGGGTACATGCCTTGATGTGGCTGATCAGGGTTTGATCCCTGGTACCACCAGTGTCACCATGGAGCAGAGAGCAAAATAGTCTCTGAGCACCACCAGGTGTGGCCCCCAAACTCCAAAATAAACAATGTAGAATCACTAAGCATTACAGTTCTAGGGCAATTACAAAGTATTTAATGTCTAAAAATACATATCAGACATATGGCGTGATATACATGTACATACATGATGTGCACATATACAGAGTCAAAGATGAGAAAGAGAGACCGAGAGACGGTTAGAAGCACCTAACAGTAACAGGGTCGAGTCGCTGTATTTCTGTCAAAGAACAGGGTTCTCCAAGATAAATAAAAAGTAAAAATAAGGGGCTGGAGCAGGTAGGGGCGTTTGCCTTGCACACAGCCAACCCAGGCTCGATTCTCAGCATCCCATATGGTCCCATATGGTCCCCTGAGCACCACCAGGTATGTTCCTGAGTGCAAAGCCAGGAGAAACCCCTAAGCATGGCCAGATGTGACCCCCTCAAAAAAAGCAAAAAAAAAAAAAAAAGTAAAAATAAAATAATACAAAATAAACGACCTTTGTATCAAAGGTGGGTCACGAGCCCCTGGCACAAGCAGCATCTGGATTTGGGACAGGAGCATCATCTCACCTATGGCCATACAGGTCCCATATGCTTCTCAGCAGCTGCCCATGGCCCGGCCAATAACCTTGTCAGAGTCACAGACAAGGCTGTCAGTACCTGCCCAGGCGTGAGAAGCCTCCCTAGAATTGAGCTGGTGGCTCTCAAAGTGATGACCCACATCTGGGAATGTGCCAGCTCTGCCTCCCAGCAGCCCTGTCCTCCCCGACACCTACCTGGCTCTGGAGGGTGGCATTTTCCTTATGGTGCAGGTGTTCCGCAGCATCCGCAGCAAAATGGTACATTCCTCTGTTTTCCTCGAAACCCTTTTTATACTCATGCTAAAAGAAAGAATATCAACCAGACACTGAGAGGAGCAGAGGTTGACTGGGACAGGAGCACCTAGCCCTGTAAACTTGAGTGTGCCAAGCCCACACGAGCTGCAAAGGTGTAATCAGCACTGATCTGTAGCCTCCGGTCGGGCTGATGGCAACCAGAGATGGACAGATGAGGCAGGCTAGACCAGCCTGACAGGGGCAAAGGCAACAGCTGGCGAAACGTCCAAAGGAAGCAGAGAGCAGTTAGCTCGAAACAGTGCCTGGAAGATGCACAGGAGGAAGAAGGAAGGAGAAGAGGTTGGGACAAGGGCAAGCCAGGGTCCGGCCTCCTGAGCAGAAGAAATTTTCCTTACCATCCCTTCCTTCAGGACAGAAATGTGTCTGTAGGAAGGATAGAGAAGCTCAAAGAAGAGGAAGGCCAGCAGCAAGAACTCCAATGCACAAGCTCAGCCAAGAGGAAGATGGGGGGCCATTAACAAAAAGGTGAGTGAAAAATGCGTATCTGAAGAAACTGGATGCAGAGGGCGATTTACCCAAGCAGGCCAAAGTCTGAACTGGGAAGAAAACAGGATGCCTCCTGGGGTAAATCTGGCATCTGCGGGACCCCCAGGGTGGCGGCAGCAATATGAAGAGCATCGCCTCAAGATTTCTGAGTCACACTGGGCACTGACAGTCTGTCCTATTTTGAAGAGACTTCTCTAGAAGCTTTCAGAGTTCAAGGGACACTCTCAAAGACTCTGGCAACAGTGCCTCGTGTCAGAGTTGATGGGCAACGACGGTTTCAATGAATGTGGCAATTTTGTGTGACAAGAAGGGAGACAGACTAAAGGAATAAGTGGATCAAGCTGATGCTGACATGTGGGCAGTAGGGGATTCTCTGGTGCTCGGATAGTGAAACAGGAAGGCACAGGGTCTGAGATATGAAGGGTGACAGAGCAAGGACCTGTAGGTGGGAACTGCTACTCCATGGCCGTGCTCAGGGCTTACTTGTGGTTTTTCTGCTGAGAGCGCCCCTGACAGAGTTTGGGGAACCAAATGTGCACATGTGTCAGGGATTGAGCCCAAGTCTGCCACATACGAGACTAGTGCCTTACCCACTGAACTATCTCTCCAACCCCTAACGTGCCTCCCCCACCAAATTCTAACCAGCATAAAATGAAAATACCCAGAAAGTTAATGAAAATGTTTGCATAGTACAGGTTGGATTTAAAAAAAAAAGTTTTTCCCCTAACTCTTTTAATTAAAAAAGGAAAAAGAGGCCTGAGACAGTAAATAAGGCCTTGCATTCTGGAGACCCAAGTTTGATACCTACTACCATATATGGTCCCCTGAGCCCCCTCTAGGAGTAAGCCCTGAGCACCGGAGGATATGGCCCCCAATTAAAACAAAAGACTAAAAAAGCTGACTTCAATGAATGAAAATACATATAAGATGTTATCATTTCATTAGAAGCCATTTTATAATATATTCACTTATGAAAAATAATCACTAATATGACAACAACAAGGCAGACAATATCCCATTACTGAATAAAAAATCCTGGAATCATGAGTATATTCTAAGAAAACGTAAGAAAATACCATCCCTAACATAACAATTTTAGCTACAGAGTAGTTAAAGAACTAATTTTTTAAAATATGTAAATAGTCTACTTGAACTACAATCTGTACTAGAAAAGCTCAATATTGTATTTGCTTTTCCCTATTTAATAGTCTCTGTTGCCGCCTAGTGGGAATTACACAGAGTAACACACAATATATATTTTTAATTTATAAAATGATACAAAATAAACTGAGAGTAGAGTTCTGTTTTATAGGAGAAAATGTTTCTTAATAAAATATAATAGCATATTATCACTGACAAACTTATAAGACAGAAGTTTGCTCTTTCTATATTGGGCATTAAGATGTTTTTAATTTACAATTAATTTATAACTTATACAAGAATCATTTAGATCATATAATAACACTGTTATTTAAAACAGAGACTGACAACTAATTTTGGCAGGATGTCTGCTTAATAAATATTCGCTCTTTTAATAAAATTAAGTAACCTTTATAAATCAAACAAGTTCTATTTCTCTTTACATCAAAATATAAGCGACAACAACTCTGATATACGATACATTTGAGCCAATATATCATGAAACTTTAGTAAATATATAGTATATTTCAGAGAAACATTTTTTGCTTGGTCTTTGGACCACACATGGTGGTGCTCTGGGTTTACTTTTGGCTTTGTGCTGAGATGACCCCTGGCAGAGCTTTGGGAACCATATGGGGTACCACGAATTGTACCCAGGTCGGCCACAGGCAAGATTAGTACCATATCAACTGAACTATCTCTCCAACTCCCAAAACATCTATTTCGAAACTTTAAATTTTTTCTTGCATAAAGAATTACCCAGTAACTTTTACTATGGACTGTAAAGTCTATAATCTAGGAAAAATCACCACCTGAATGAAGATTTAAGCTTTATAAATTGTACATAACAATGCCATGGATAACTATGCTGGTTTTCATTGAAGAGATGACAGAAACAATTTGTACAAAATAGTATTTTACACCATTGTTGTAAAGATCAATATTCTTGAAAAGAAATATTACTTACGAGTAGCATGCATTCTCCCCACTGTCAAATTTTTTAATTACTCCCTCCTTTTATTGGCTAATTTACACATGAACCCTTGTGTCTTAAGAGCAGTTAATCCACTTATAAATGAGGAGTTTTTCAGGGCAAAAGTCATTGTGATGATCAACACTGAATGCCAAACACTGAACATAAAGAATTTAGAATTCTGAATTTAGAATTTAGAAGACGAACACAAGAACGAAAAAGAGAGACATTCAAGCAACTGAGAAATGTATTCAGAAAGTGAGGCACTGAAATGGCAGAAGAACATGATTTAAATGTCCTGGAATTGAGTCTAATTCTGTGCCTGATGGCCCTCTCTAACCTTCATTCTCTGTTCAACAGACCAAGAAAAATGACGGACTACTTTTTCTCCAAGGGCATGTGTTACAAAATAATTAATTGAAAGATCTTTGTGGGTATGAATCACTGACAGGCCTGGTATATTTCAAGAAGGATGACAGTAGTGATGGTAGCTCAAGAGGGATCACAAAACAATGAAGAGAAGTTCCAATATATAAAAGCCAGGTGGAAACATTTCTACGATGGAAGTGAAGCTGTGTCTTATTACTTGATCACTTGGAGCCAGGTTCTGACTGCAGATTTTCATCCACGCCTGCGAGTTGTGGATATATCTCCTCAAGAAACAATAGCTTCTGGGGGCTGGAGAGATAGCACAGCGGGTAGGGCGTTTGCCTTGCACGCGGCAGACCCAGGTTCGATTCCCAGCATCCTATAAGGTCCCCTGAGCACCGCCAGGAGTAACTCCTGAGTGCAGAGCCAGGAGTAACCTCTGTGCATCGCCAGGTGTGACCCAAAAAAGCAAAAAAAAAAAAAAAACACCAAAAAAACAAAAAGGAATGGCTTCTACTTTTAGGGATCCATACCTGGCAGTGTGACTGTTCCAACTTGATGTCGAGAGGACCATGATGTGTTCCCAGGACTGAAACCAGGAGTATGGTTTCAAAGCATGCCTTTCAGTCCTTTGAGATCTCTTCCCAGCCCTAATTTATTTTTTTTGTTTTGCCATGTGGGGCTACTGAACCCGGTGTTTCACATATGCAAGGAAAGTGCTCTACTGCTGGGCTACATCCCTGCCCCCCAAATTTCAACATTCTCACATTCCTTGCCAACATACTTTCCAACTCATCTGTATCTGGTCCCAGGCAGACATGCAGTAAATACAAATAATTATGAATGAGAAAGTGAGTGAGTGCATAATCATTAGAGCAGATGTAGAGTAATTTAGGACAAGGAGTAGAGATGAAGTTAGAATTCCCACTGGGGCATCCTTTCCACAGGAAGTTGAAACAAGTGAGCCAAGGTACTGAGTTAGGAGACCAGAGAAGCCCAGGTCCAGATGCACAGAGAGTCTGGAATATCATCCAGGAGGAAAGCTCTGACTGAATGACCGCTTCAGAGAGGGCACAAAGAATTTGACCGGACAGTACACTCTCCTCCTGGTTGCCAAAGAAAACATGTAAATCTTCACAAGATTCAAAGTGTCAAAGTAGACACCCGGCGGATGTCTTTTCAGAGAAAACGTAAATTTTTGCTATACTACTGAGGCTCCTTAAATCCGAGACATTCTGCTCTGACTTGCAGGAAATAAAAGCTCCCTGTTTTAAGAGCTTTGACCTTCCACTGGCTTCAAAATAACACAAAGGAGAAAAGCAGAAAACAGATTCACACACACACACACACACACACACACACACAGACCTGGAGATTTGGTTGTACAAGACAAAAGTCTGGGTACAAGAACTTCAAAGCAACAGCTGAGGCAGAACCTAAAGAAGCAAAACACTCCTTCCAAGGAGTTAGTCCCTGAGGCAAGAGTGATGATGCCCCAGGAGGCGGATGAAGCGTGGGCAGGTGGGCACTGCAGCAAGAGCAGCTCCCTGGGTAGGCCGACGGAAGCAGGCGAGCATGTGGGCACTGCAGGCACACACATCTACCGCTGGCACCCCACCACCACTTACTCCGCTGAGCATTTTGCTGGTTTTCAGCGCATGTTCTAAAACCAAATTTGGGAGACCTGAAACCGGATCATGCATAGTTTCCATGTCTTTCTTGTACTTCACCTAGGAAAATAACATGGAACAAAGTACCATCCAGGAGAAGAAAACTGCATGCTTCCTCGTGTATCGTCCTTATTGTTTGGAACAGAGAGCAAGACACGAGCAGGCACATAAGAAGGAGCCACTAGGTGGCTCTCCTCTACCACTAAATAAGTGGAAAAATATATTTCTAGGAACTTGGAAATTTTTTGATCATTCCTTTTAATGTTTGCATATTCAGAAAGAATGATGTTAACAGAAGCAAATAACTTGAACCAAAATTCGACCTTCAAATCTTAGGAAGAGAACAACTTTGTTCCTTAAGAATTACTACCATATCTTAATTATGTTTTATGACAACTTTAGAGTTTGAGGTAATTTCTGGTCTTTTACCATATTGAACTTTTTAACCAACTTTTTTGGAAATACAATCCTATTAGTAGTAATGATAATAATATACTAATAACAGGAAACATTTTGAGCACTGACAAAAATGCCACTTTAAAAAAAAATTTTCCCCGCATAGTAAATTATTTGCACATCTAGAAATATCCCAATTTTACAAATGCGAAAACAGAGCCATAGAAAGAAGGAAGTATAATATTAAGTGAAGAATTCGAATTCAGATAATCTGATTTTAACTCTTGAATTTTCAACCATGCTCTAGGTTCTGTAAAGTATATTCCAACTCTATTTGCTTTTTTTCACACACAAAAGAATTGAATACAAAAGAAATTATTTTGATATTTACTTTGCTCTTGAAATACAGATATACCCATTTCAATTGCTGGGGAAAAAAAAACATTTCAGAACACAATAATCTAGACCTTAAAGAAAGATAAAGCTAAGAAAAGGGTTTTTAGGACACTTAAGGAAAATGTCCCAAGTTCAAAGGATATAACAGAATTTTAGAGCTTAAATGATATAATAAAAATTTACAGTTCAACAATAGCTAATTTTATTTTTTTAACTGAGAACTCGTCTTTATTTTTTATTTTTTTTATATTTTGATGTTATTTTATTATTTTTAATTTTTATTTAAATTTTTATTAGTGAAACACTATGAGGTACAGTTGTAGACTTACAAATTTTTGTGCTTGGGTTTCAGTTATACTATGATCGAATACCCATCCCTTCACCAGTGCCCATTCTCCACCACCACTGATCCCAGTATCCCTCCCACCCCCCATTAATTTTAATACTTAATAAGGTACTCTATACTATCTTTGACTGTAGTAGAATTTTTTCTGATTTTTTATACTCTGCCCAGTTTTAATAAAAAATTGAGTCTTATAAACGCCTTTAAAGTGAAATCTGATTATCTAAATGAAATAAAGACAAGTCTTATCAATTATTTTACAGCAATTAACTAATGAGTAAGATAAAAATTGTAAACCATCAAATTTGTGAAAATTTGTGACAATTTCTATGATAAATTCCTATGTAGCAGATAATACTTTGTATTCTTATAAGCCTAATTTAATGACATGAGTTATTATCACAACCACTAATTTATTATACTACATACAATTTTCTGCAAAACTGTATAAGCTATTTCTATTCTGTATGACATGCAATTATTTTATTAACAATATGCTTCCTACTTATTAACTAATTAGCAATAAGTTACCATTAATAGAAAATTACAATAATATATTTCTCTCTAAAATAAAAGCTTCAAGAAAATACGCTGCAGTGTTTCCAACTAAAATTACTCGAAAATTACATGATGTTGCTTACAAATCATTAATTAGAATACAGCTGATTCTGAGAAGGCAAGGATCAAAGACATAGAAAATAATTTTCTATGAATTACAAGGCACAAAGTAACTTACATTACTTGCCAGGATAGTCGCAAGTTGACTTTGTCTGAAAGTAGCACTTTCAAGGGGATTATAATGATGTTGCTTCATTTCATTGTCAAATTTTTCTTTATATTTAATCTGTCATAAAAGAAATAGGATAAATATTACATTAATCTTTAAGCTTTCAAAATAACACATTTGCTTTTTAATTAAATCAACAGCTACCTTAAAGATGAAAAGTGGCAAAATTTAAATTCATGCTATTTTCCCCAATATAAAGCTTAATTAGGCATGAAAGTTTAAAAAAAATCATCTCTACTTGAACATTGATCATAAATGCAATTAGGCATGAACTTAAATCCTAGTAACAAGTATTGTGCACTAAAATTACAGGATTTTTAAATTTTACTTTCCAGTTCCTTATTCCTAATATCTAAGATCAATTAGAAAATGAGATCACAAATTTCTTAAATTCTACCACATTTAGAAAAATGTGATAGTCTGACTCATCAGACCCAGAATTGAACTACAAATTTTCCTTAAAAAATTATTCCACCACGAGCGGCTCTCCAGCACGGCCACAGCCCCAGAAGCACAATGACCTAATGCAGAACCCAGCAGCTTGGAGCAGAAAAGTGAAAGGACTATGCGTTAATCCAGGCAATCATTTCTGCCCAGAGGGGAAAGGGTGTTGCTCCCTTCCGCCCTCCTCCCTCTGGAAAGAAAGATGGCGGCCACATGGGAGCCTTGTGGACAGCAGGTATGAGCCGGGGAGGTGGGGGCGACTAAAACCTCATGGGTCGGGGGGCGTTCCGGTCCGTCCTTCACGCCCTACCAAGGTCACCAGTTGCCCCCCGCGAGCGGCTCTCCAGCACGGCCATGGCCCCGGAAGCACAAGGACTTAATGCAGAACCCAGCAGCTTGGAGCAGAAAAGTGAACGGACTATGCATTGATCCAGGCCATCAAGTCTGCCGGAGGGGAAAGGGTGTTGCCCCATTCGCCCTCTCCTCTCTGGAAAGAAAGATGGCGGCCACATGGGAGCCTTGTGGACAGCAGGTATGAGCCGGGAGTGTGGGGGCAACTAAAACCTCATGGGAAGGGGGGCGTTTCGGTCCGCCCTTCACGCCCTACTGAGGCCACCGGTTGCCCCCCGCGAGCGGCTCTCCAGCACGGCCACGACTCCAGAACACAGAAACCAATTTCTTAACTATCTGACTTTCAGTAGAAATACTTCCAGGGTCAATAGGTAAAATAGCAGAAATCCAAAACCAACATTTAATTCTTGAACCCAGCTGTAGAAAGCAAATCACTTCACAATGCTTTTTCAGCATGTCTGATTTGGGGGGGGGGGGGGTAAACTCTAAATAATAGTGGTGAATCTTTTATTGAAACAATGAATCTAATCAAAGCAGATAGAGTGTTAACTAGAATTCATCTGCCTCACAGGGACGGGGAGGGGTGGGGGGTGGGGTTTTATTGGGGTTCTTCATGGTAAAAAATAAGTATTGGTAAAGGGAAATGTGTTTGATATTTGCATGACTGAGACATAAACCTGAAAGCTTTGTAACCTTTCCCACAGTGATTCAATAAATAAATAAAAAAAAATTATTCCAAAAAAACATTCCAAGACCTGCATTGTACACTGATTTTTCTCACTTTTCCTATTTGTTCATGAAATTACGTTTTCTGAAAGTCCTTGGATCTATTTAATGCCATATGTATTCCTCCATTTAACACCATGTCTGTATTCTGCTGCAAAATCATATCCAATATCTATTTTGAATTATTTTTATGTTATTATTTGTATTGGGATTATAGTTTTGGTGCCACATCTGGCAGTGATCAGGGCTTACTACTGACTCTGTGCTAAGGGATCACTCCTGGTAGGGTTTAGAAGACCAGACGTGGTACCAGGACATCAATTCCAGCCGGCTAGCATGTAAGGACTGCCTGCTATACTATCTCTCTGGCCCTGTTTTCCTCTTTTTAGAATATACTTAGAGGGATGGAGAGTACAGGGGTTAAGATACTTGCCTTGCACTCTGCCGGCTTAGGTTTTATCCCCAGTACCACATATGGCACCGCTGAGCACTACCAGGAATCATCCCTTAGCAGAGAGCCAGGACTAAGCCCCAAGTTCTATTGGGTGTGGCCTAACCTCCAAGTAAATTAAAAAAAAATTAGAAAAGTAGTTTTAGACCAAACAAGGAAAGAGTTACCCACTTACACTGTAGAATTAAAATTTCCTTCATGCAGAGAAGTACGCATATTTTGGTAAAGTGTAGAAAGATAGACACAAGTTCTTTACCAAAAAAGAGCACCTAAACTAGTTACTTAGTGCATCTCACCTGCCTTTCCATTGCTAAAGCCAGGAAAGGATGTACAAAACTCAAAAAGCAATCGAAATGGGCTGAACTTGTTTCTCACAGTTTTCTATATTACAGTGTTTCCATTTAATTTCTAAGGGCAGAATCAAATGCACTTTTACTCATATATCTTAAAGACAGTCTCATAGAAACCTTTTCTAAAAAGAAATTTGGGGCTAGCTCACATTTCTTCAGTAGAGAGTATAGGGAGGGGTGGGTTTCTCCAACAGACGCACATCTGATACCTATAACTGAGAACCTAGGAAGTTTCCCATGGAACCAGAATCTCTGAAGAATATTTCAAGATGGATTCCAGGAAAGGTTTTCTGCTGTGAATAACTGTCTGATAATTTCTAATAATAACCTTCTGATAATTCATAACCCCTTAGAAATCTCATCTGTTCTAATTTGTGAAGCCTTCATAGATATCAGGAAAAACTCTGATTTTAAAAAATTATTTTATGTATAAAATCAGAGCCAGTAACTCCAGTGGAATATATTCAGATCTCCCTCACCACTCTACCTTCCACAGTAGTTGGCACCAAACCAAAGGCTTTCCTTCTTGGTCCTTCCTTCGTCTAAACACACAAGTCCTCCTCCCCTTATGCTCTCTCTCTCTCTCTCTCTCTCTCTCTCTCTCTCTCTCTCTCTCTCTCTCTCTCTCCCTCTCCCTCTCTTTCCCTCTTTCTACAAAGACACTTTGCACAAGTATTTTAATCTTCTCTCTCTCTTTGCCGGTGTCTCTCTCTGTCTCTCTGTCTCTGTCTCTGTCTCTCTCTCTCTCACTCACACACACACACACACACACACACACACACACACGCACACACATTCATCGAACAACAAGAGAACAAGAGGAGACTCTTATTTCCATGAAGAAGTTCTTCTGACAGACAGAATCACCTACCCATTTACTGGCTAGAACATTCCTACTTAGGGCCAGGGTACCTTGCACACACTCAGCTTGTGGCTATTCATAGCTGATCAACAGATTCAGTTACATAATATGAACTTGTAGCTAGTTATCTTTCAGTTAATCAGAATCTCCAAACCTGCCCCCTCCCCTCCCCCACCTGCTGAGTGTTTTAGTTACATATCAGCTAAAGGACACACATGGGTTCTCTGTTCTGGGATCTGCGTTTGGCACCCTGCAGTTCCCAGCCCTGTGATAACAGGAGCAGAGGCAGCATGAAGGAGGTGGTACTTGGAATTAACCTGACAAATGCTCATCTGTTATTAAACCTGGCATTTGCTCTTTCCAAGTAAATACATGCTTCAAAAACAACAATCAATCCACACTGTAATGAAGCCTTTCTTCCTCTACTCATTAAATTTCAAGCTTAATGAGGTGGGAGGAGTATCACACCTATGGAGTTGAAAAAGCAAAACACGACATTAAGACAGGAATTAGAGGCCAGAGACACATGTCAGTGGGTTGAGAACTTGGTTTGCATATCACTGACCTGGGTTCAATACCCAGCATCCCATATACCATGATTCCCCGAACACCAACCAAAGTACTTCCTGAGAGCCAAGAGTAACCCCTGAGCATCTCTGGGTATGGCCCCAAAACTACCAAACAAACAAATAAAAAAGACAGGAATTAGCTGTATGTTCTAAAATCATGTAGCTTAAACAAATCATGTGAACAAATCATGTAGCTTAAAAATGGCTTAAAAGTGTGCACGACAGTTTGGAGAACAAATATCTGAATGGACTGGACTGTGTACATGTTTCCTAGCCCGTTAGAACATGTACAAGGAACAGATTTTTCTGCAGGATAGCCTGGCTTGTTGTTTTAAATGAATCTGTACTTAATAAATGTTTATTAAAGAAATGTATAAATCATGATAAAAAGAACAACCTTACTTTTTTCTCATAGAATGAACTAAACACTGAGATAGGTGTTCAGATTATAATATTTCCCTAGTTCCCCAATTTTCCACCCATCCCAAACATACCCTGGTTGTTTTGTTGATTTGAACTATATCCTCTGAGAAAGATAAATACATAAAAAAGTGAAAATAATAGATACAAAGAAATATTTATTTAATCAATGCTTGTCAGTTTATCATGACCAGGAGGTTAAGGAATCAAGTGATGAGGTATTAAAATAGTTGGAAAGTTTTTAAAATGGTATCTGTTCTACAGAAAAAATCAAGTATAGGGGAATAGAAACTGTAGCTAACAGTATTTCTGCTCATTGTAATGGAAATTTTCTATCACCTGAGCTGCCCACCAATAGAACCATCATTTTCTCCTTTTCTGAATCCTCCAAAAGTTGTCCTGAATAATTTTTATACATCCTCCAGATATTAGCCCCAAAGCACTTTCTTTTTTGAAAGTCTTCTCTCCAAAATTAGAGTATTTACTACTGTTATATTCTGGAAGAACTCCAAGTTACCTGGTCATACTTTTCATGCCTGCTATAATTATTTGCAAAATTGTCTCTACCGTGGGTGCTTACAACCCCCTACACACACACACACATACACACACACACACACACACACACACATATCCCATATACAAAAGCTCACTGAAGACAGGAATTTCATCTGCCTGTTCTGTAATATCTCATTCAGCAACTCTTCTGCCAGAACGAATAAGTGGATGGGAGACATTGAAAAGGTATTTCTTTATTGAAAGGCAGGACCATGTAACAGTTGTATTGGGTGGGGGGGGGGTGGGAGTGGGGAACAGCGTGAGGAGATCCTTCAATTTCACCCCAGTCTTTAGCAGATTTTGATGAGAACTTTATTTTTGAAGAT